CAGGAGCAGCCTGGCCCAAGGGGACATTAACGGGACACCAGAAACACCTGAGAAGGGGAAACCCGTGCCAGGATCCCCTGGCAGCGGGAAGCAGTTGTGGCGCTGCGGGAGCGTTTCCTAGGGATGGGGTGGGAATCCTGCGGGTGTCATCGGCCGGAATATTAACACTAGGGCAGGCAAAAAGCAGTAGGAATTTTCCTGCCGCGCGAATTGTGTTTGCAGGCCGCAGTCTATCTCCCCACCTCCTGCTTTTCGGCCTCTCTGTGTTCCCCTTTGCACCAGGTAATAGGGAATGGGAAGCGTGGCGGACACCTGGATAGCGCTGCTGGGAGACACCCGGGATGTTGTGGCCATCCGCAGGGAACCCCGCCCTTCCTGTGGGGAGGAGCGCCCCGCTCCCGAGATAAATACAGTTTCCCCAAAGATCTTCACTTGAAAGGAGGATAAATATATGCAAATATGCCCCTAGGTAGGACTAAAATGACTTATGTAGCAATCACTAACACTGCACTCACAAAACCAAGCAATTAATTTTGAATATTTTCTAAATCACCAGGCCTGGCTGAGTTGGCTCCCCATATGCCAAATCGAGGCAGTAAGTGGCACCCACTAAATGTGACTTTGCAATCAGGCCGAGGAGCAGCGCACTACCCAGGGCTTTGTGTTTCTTGTCCCTAGAAAACCTGCGATCCAGGTGAGCCTCCTCCGTCCAACGGCACCACGAAACCACTGGATTCCCATATGGAAAACCACTGAGTACGGCCTTGATTTTGCCCCCTTAAATGAGGAGCTGGCCTAAGTCTGCGTTTCCCCGTGGTTGTGGGGCACAACGAAGGAGCCGGCGCGTCCCCTGTGTCACCTCACCCCGCCGTCCTCACGCAGTGACGGGGACGTGAGGCCAGCACCAGCGCTGGGCGGCCCCGCATGGACCCAGCCAACCACCACAAGGACTTCGAGTGCCCACGGGAAGGGCGATGCCAACAGGAGCAGCCCAATCCCGCTCCCATTCTACCCCAGCTCCTCCGTGAAGGCAGCAGTTGGGCTCTTGGCTGAGGGATGCTCCTGGGCTGCTTGGGCTGTGCTTCTGGATAACCTCAGGAGCACTCGGGCTAAACGTTTTCTTCCCACTGCAATCAGCACGTTACTGAACTCCTGTACTCAAAGTGAGCAGGGATGGACAAAACTGGAAAGCAAAGCTCACCACAGATGGCAACGGGTTGTCATGGAAGGGCTCCAGGGCTGCCCTGACTGCTGTTGTACAGCAGAAATACTTCATTTTTGTAACCTTCTGCACTTCAGATGGGGAAGCACAAGGAGCCAAGTGAAGCGACTCTCCTGGGGCCATAGGAGGTGAGCCAGATGCAGAGCCAGGACCGGAATGCACTGTTCCCGGATCCTTCCTGCTGCCCACGGACAGGTGAGACCACCCCCCTCCGAGGGATCCGCGATGGCAGCTCTGGGGATGTGTCTGAAGAGCGGGACTGTTTCCAGCCAACAGCAAAGCCAAATATATCAGCGATGCCTTTACACGTCTGAAGGGACGTTCCAGCGCCGTAAGGGAGCGGCCCAGGACACAGCGAGTGAAATGCAGATGACTATCGCACCCTAGGATGACCCTGGTCGCTTGATGGATGAAGAGCTGCCCACACTAACGATGGAGAGGGCTCATGGAGTGGTGCTGGGGAGGAGATGGAGTCGGGGTGCGATGGGAGCTGCAGCGAGGCGGGCCGAGGCACGGGGAGCAACCGGAAGAGAGGCGGTGGGGAGTTATTACCTGGTTGTTCAAGGCTATGGTGAGGTTCCACCTGGAGCACTGCATCTCGTTTTGGGCACCCTGCTTCTGTAGAGACGTACAAATTATGGAGAAGGTCTAAAGAAAAGTTTCTAAGCGGTACAAAAGAAGGGGGAGGTCTTAGCTGACAACGGTAAGAGAAAATGCTTGAGCTTGGATGGTCTGGGGAAGAAAAAGGGGGCTCTGTGCAATGGAAATATGTTAGGACAACCAGGAGCACCACAGGGCTGTCTACTGGGGAGGGCTCCAACGACCCTTGAGGCAGAAGCATAATTTGGAGGGGACGGGGTAGGTACTGCTGGAGAATCACATTGAAAACTGCTTGATCTAGAAACCACCGCTGGCATTAGGGCACCAAACCCTGCTGTCATTCAGCTAAAAGCAGATAGAGAAAAAAATCACTAGCCGGGATAACCAGCGAGGACACAAAAAGGCTGCTGTGGGCTGCCTAAAGCAAAGGGGTCTCCAGGTCTCCAAACACAGGCTCCCTCCCAGCAGCGAGGCCGGCTCGAGCCACGGGGCTCACCAGGCTCTTGCTGGGCTGTAACGGCTGAAGGGGGGTGTTTTTTGGGCACGGCTGAGCACGTCCCCTCTGAGAGCCACGTCCCTCGGCGCTGTCCCTAGCTGTGAGCCCAGCATCTGCCCTGCTGCCCTCCCTGGAGCCGGGCTCTATCCCAGCGGAGGCCCTGGCCGGCTGTGCCCACATCCCTGGAGGACTCTCAAGCCACTGGCTCTTGGCAAGGATGTCGGGAGCTTTCCCGGAGCACCCGCGTGGCTCTGCTCGCCCTGCGTTACGGATGGCTCGGCCATCACCTGCTCCGCACCCGCTCGACCATTCCTGGGCAAGGTCACCCACACCGACGGCACGTGAGGAAGGACGAGGTTTGGGAGCTGCAGGAGAGATTTGAAACAGCCCTAAAAAACCAAGCGGGGCGATTTCAACCCAGCCCGGAATCGATGGCTGCACATCAGCCGGAGGGGGATCGGGCAGGGCGGGCAGATCCCTCAGCACCAAATTGAGCCGCTCTGCGGCCGGGGGTCGTTCCCCTCTCCCATCAGCTGCTCCTCGGACACCAACAAAGACACCCCCGCGCTCACGGCCCGGCCTCCCCTCCCTCTCCATCTCCTTCCCTCCTATTTATTCATTTCGGAGCCTCGCTAAGCCGCGTGGCGCTCGCTCCCCATCTCCACCCCCTGCGGACGCGGGGAACGGAGCGCGGGTGCCGCCGAGCGCGATTGCCCGGGATCCTTTGAGTCCTCCCGCTGCCTCCCTCCCCGCTCCGCTCTCGGAAGCGGCTCTAAACGCGGAGGGAGCCGCACTACAAAGCGCCCCTGAGCGGCACATCCCGCCCCGGGCGAGCCTGCTCGCCGCGCTGATAGCCCCGCGCCGGCTCCCGGCCCTCGCGCCGCTCTGCCTTCCCCCTCTCCTCCCCCTTCCTCCTCCTCGGATCAATCGAGGGCTGTAATCAGTTAAGGTCCAGCTTAACTGCAGTGTAAGATACACCAGTTAAGCAAAGCCAATGCCTCCAGGGTTCCCATGGTAAATACGGAGAGGTCATGGGGAGATGAAATAGCCCTGATAAGTTCAGCAAGTGCAAGGCTGGCTCGACTCGCGCCGAGCGCTTAATAACTCGAGCTGGCAGGAGAACGGAAGAAAGGGACAATCGGGAGCACTTCCGAGCGCCAGCTCCCGCTCGCTTGCGCTCCCCATCCCGGCTTTCCCAGAGGGGTCTCCGCGCAGTTTGGAGGCGAGGGCGGCTCTTTGCAGCTCACTCCGATGAATGAACGAGCCCGAGCTCGGCTGCCGCCTGGGAGCAGCCTCATCCATTTCAGAGCTTCCCAGGGAGCAGCTCTCCAAGGCAGGACCTCTTCTTTCCAGCATCGCTCGGAGAACAGCAGCTCCCGGCTCCGTGGAAAGGCCTTGCTGCCCTATATAGCGTGCTCCTCTCTGCTTTCTGCTGCTAGGGAGCAGGGGAATTTTCAGAGCTACCGATGGCTCAAACAGAGGGTTGCTCTTAAAGCTGAGATGCTGAGCAGCCCCTTTCCCCGCTGTGCTCCAAGGGGAAGCTTTTCCTTCCTCTCCATAAATGCACCGTTTGCAGAGACGCGGAAACCCCGGCACTCGCTTTGCCCTCAGCCATGAGCAGTTTGGCACGATTCGGGCCCGAGCACATTGGCCCCCCAATTCTCCTCGGTCCTAATCCCAAGCTCATGACTCCAGGTGAGCGCAACATTGATGTTTGGATACAGATATGGCTGTGTTGGCTCATTTCTAATTAGACATTGGCCCACTGGGCATTACAGATAGGGGAAAAAAAAAAAACCCACGTGGCATTTATTAAAAACCATGCAGACACACAAAGAGACGAACAGAATCTTTAACCACAAGCGATAAGAAAGCCCTAAAGCATTTTAGTTTAGATAAGTATCCCTGGACGCTGCTTCTTCCAGCTCTCTGAAAACTGCTGGCCTGGAGATCTCCCCTAGGTAGGTGCTTGCTGAGCAGAGGACGAGATTTCCTCCTCCTTGGGTGTTTGGGCACCCTCCTGCCTGAGCTTGCAGGGCTTTTCTGAAGCCCTCCCTGGCAGGAGAAGCTGCTGAATAAAAACGTGATAGAGTAAAAGCACGAGAAGCACCTGGGCTCACCCGCCGGTAGCGGGGCTGCCTTCTAGTTTGCTGCTCAAAACTCCCTTCTGGTTATGCCCGACGGTACTCTGAAATAAAAACGCTTTTTAACAAATACGCCTCATACTCCACGCTGTGCAGAACACTTTGTTCCAGTCTTGAGCTCAGAATAGTGTCGGTTCTTACAAGAGCTGCTCATCTGATGCACCAGGATGGGCTCAAGTCACCAGGGAGCCCCCTCCAACACCAGAGGAACAAAACTCCTATTTCTAAATCTTTTCTTACCGGTGACACTCAGCACCTTAAGAAGGGGATTTCGGGAAGACACGATGCTGCCACACCGTGCCCAAGGGAAGGCCGGTCACCCCATCGGAAACAGAACCTCCTTCGAGGCGCCGAGCGCGCCGCGTAGCCCGAGTCCCTGCACGGACACGAGCCCAAACCCACCAGAACCAGCCACGCAGCCCTGGTTCGGCTGCAGCTGCTCCTCGACGGAGACATCTCGATGGTGGCAGCGACGGAGGCGCCGCGGCCGGTCCCGCTGCCCCGCGCCGGCTCGGCCAGGCCCCCGGGTTAAGGAGCGCACAAGGCACTGCCGATCCCGAGATAAATGGTGGAAAAGGGATTAGAGATACTTAGCAGAGGAGAGGGAAGACTCAGGAAGGGCTGATTATTTTAAAGATATGACTATTTAAAGATAATGATTGCATAAATTTAATTAATGCATTTTCATGCTGCAAATGGCCGTTTTGTAATTAATGTATCTGGCCTCGCTAAGCATGGGAGATCACATCTCCCCACCCCCCGTCCCCGCGTCCCCCCCGCCGCCTCCCGTTTAATGAAAGACAGAAAGCAGATGACAGAAACAATTTGTCAGCCCGTACGGGTGTCAGATGCCTAATTGGTTGCGCTGAGTTAGTGCGGAGGAAGGGGGAGAGGGTGGAGGCCGGGGGATCTTCCCCTTCTCCCGGCTGCGGGAGGTGTCCGGGGCAGCGCGGGGGACACGGGGGCAGCGGGG